CCTCCTGGGTCCTGAGCTGAGCACTACCTCCTGTGGAAACCATTTCACGGAACCCCATATTGAGCTGGGTACCCCGCCTCTGGGGGCGGGAGAAAGGGAGGGGAGGGGAAACAGAGACCCAAACTGCCCATTATTGAAATCAACCAAGATCTCTAAAACCAGGAGCCAACTTGGTCCATTTATTTATTTATTTATTTATTAAATATATCTTATTCATTTTTCTCATAGAGGAAGAGAGAGGGACAGAGTCAGAAACATCGATGAAAATCATCGATCAGCTGCCTCCTGCACACTCCCCATTGGGGGTGTGCCCACAACCAAGGTACATGCCCTTTATCAAAATTGAACCCAGGACCCTTCAGTCTGCAGGCTGACGCTCTATCCACTGAGCCAAACCGGTTTCGGCCAGCCTGGTCCTTTTAATAGCCATGTGGCTGGTGACGTGTTTGCTCCAGATAAGCATCGTTGAAATGGATGCCTCGGCAATCAAAGCAGAAGTTGGGCACGTACACTCCACACAGGGGAGGACCCACGTGTCAGGACTGACCCTGCACCCCCTTAAATGTGTGGCATGCTTCTACCCCCCGATTTAGCATCCTCTGACACACTCTATATTCTATTATTTTCTCTTTTCCCATGGGACAGGTTTTTTCTTTGGTCACTTATTATCACAAATTAAAAGCTCAATAAACATTTGTGGAATGAATGAATGAATGAATGAATGAATGAACACACAGCTCTTGAGGTCAAGAAAGGTTTCCGGAGTTCATGTGGGGCCTTAAGATTTCTGCCAGACTGAACCTTGGAGGCTGGCTCAGGTCACGGGAGATCAGAGTTCCCCAGGAAGGGAGGGGCCACCCCATGCACAGGCATGGGCACAGTGACCCCTTGTGGTCAGGGCTGAGCATAGCATCTTCCCCAGCTCCCAGAACCTTCATGTCTATCACATGTGGATTCAATAGAGGTCAGGCTTGAATCTAGATAGGCTGTAAGCGTAACAGGCACACCAGATTTCAAAAACTCAGCAAAAGGAGAAAAAAAAGAATACAAAAATTTTAAAAATTTCTTATCTGTTAAAGTGATATTTTAGATACAGTGGGTCAAGATGTTATTTAAAGGTCACCTGTTGGCCGAAACCGGTTTATAGAGTATCGGCCTGAGGACTGAAGGGTCCCAGGTTCGATTCCGGTCAAGGGCATGTACCTTGGTTGCGGGCACATCCCCAGTAGGGGGTGTGCAAGAGGCAGCTGATCGATGTATCTCTCTCATCAATGTTTCTAACTATCTCTCTCCCTTCCTCTCTATAAAAAAATCAATAAAATATATGTTTTAAAAAAAATAAAGGTCACCTGTTCCACCCTGGCCAGTGTCGCTCAGTAGTTGGAGCATTGGCCTAGGCTCCAAAGGGTCGCAGGTTAGATTCCTGGTCAAGGGCACATGCTTGAGTTGCAGGTTCGATCCCCGGCCCCAGTCAGGGGGGGTGTGGGAGACAACCAATAGATGTGTCTCTCACACATCGATGTTTCTCTCTTCCCCCTGATTCCAGTTTCTCTAAAAAAAAAAATTAATGGAAAAAATACACTTGGGTAAGGGTTAACAAAAAAATTAAACATCACCTGTTCCCTCCTTCTAAAATCTATTAGAAATAAAAAAGTAATAAAATATGACTATTAGAACCTTTAAAATTACAGCCTTGTCTGAGGGGGGGGGGGAGGAGTTCAGTGGGTTAGAGCACCATGCCCACACACAAGGTTTTGGGTTCAATCCTGGGTCAGGGCACATATATACAAGAAGCAACCAATAAGTTCATAAATGAAGGGGAACAACAAACCGGCGTCTCTCTCCAATCAATCAATCAAAATGAAAAGAGAAACTTGATCATTGCATATATGATTCACACCGTATTTCTATTGAGTAACACTGCCCTAAATCACAATAGAAATCTAACCAAACACCCACTTCCTGGTGAGAGGGAGGAACTCAGCTGAACAGAAGGGAAATGCTCTCTCTCCCAAAGCTATCGGTGAATCAGAGGCCCACCACCAAGGATCCAGGCTCCCAGCAGGCAGCATAGCAAAAAGGGCCCGTCGTCCCACCTCCTTCCTGGAGCCACAAGCTTACCCTTTGTAAAATCGGGGACCAACCCCTGCCCATCACACCTCTGAGCTAACACGGGAAGAAGTCTCTGCAGTGCACCCCACAGGAGCTATCCTGTTGTGGTAACTATGGTGTCAGGTGGGTACTAGACTCATTGGAGGTGGGGAGAGCACTTTGGAAGCTATATAAATGTGCCAACACTATGTTATACACTTGAAACGAATATGATGTTGTATGCCAACTGTAATTAGCCAGGACTGGCTTGGCTCAGTGAATAGAGTGTCTGCCTTTCAGACTGAAAGGTCCCGGGTTCGATTCCGGTCAAGGGCATGTACCTGGGTTGCAGGCACATCCCCAGTGGGGAGTGTGCAGGAGGCAGTTGATCAATGTTACTCTCACATCGATGTTTCTAACTGTCTATCCATCTCTCTATCTCTCTAAAAAAAAAAAAAAATCAATAAAATATATATTTTTTTAAAAGAAAAATATAAGCATTTAAAAAAAAAAAAAGCATCCCAATGGACCTTGATCATCTTGCGCCCCCTACAGTCCATGGCCCTCACTTGCAGCTGGAGTGAGCTTTGAGGCAATGGAAATCCCATCATGACCTCTCTTGGTGGAAAGCTTCCCCATCCATGATCTACCATTATTCTTAAGCTCCATGCAAATATCTCCTGCCTCTGCAGACCCTGCACAGCCCGCCCTGGCTCCTGCCTCACCTCACCTGTTGATGTCCTTCCTCTCCACTCTGCTCTGGACGCACGTTTCCCGCGGTTCCCTGGATTGCCAAGCTTACTCCCCACTCCGCGGTTCCCTCCACCTGGGAAGCTCGCCCCCGAGATGGCTTTAGGATCCGTCCCTTTGCTTTACTCTGGTCCCTGCTCACGTGCCACCTCTTCAGAGGCCTTGCCCCGAGCCCTGTGGGAACTGGCTCCCTCTCTCCTTACCCCACTTTATTTGCTGCCTTCGCCATGGCGTGGCATGGCTTATTTGCTTATGGTCTGTCTCTCCCAGACTGTGAACGTCAGAAAGGGCAGGGGCTTTCGTCTTTTGTTCACTGAGGCATTCTTAGCCCCTCGAGGAATTCCTAGCACCTGACACATAGGCCACAGGCAAGGTGCTCAATAGACATTTGTTGAGTGAACTATTAATGCTAATACTTGATTTGATCACGGAAGAGGCAGGGCACCTGGTCCCTGTCCTCCAGCCTAATCTATCCTATATAACAAAGAGGTAATATGCAAATTGACCATCATGCCCTCACGTGTGATCACAAGATGGCCGGCAGAGGAGTGCAGTTGGGGGGGGGGGGGGGGCGGGGGCGGCCAGGCCTGCAGAAGAGGGCAGTTGGGGGCAATCGGGCCAGCAGGGTAGCAGTTAGGGTTTGATCAGGCTGGCAGGGGAGTGGTTAGGGGGTGATCAGGCAGGCAGGTGAACAGTTGGGAGCCAACAGTCCTGGATTGTGAGAGGGATGTCCCCAATTGGAAAGGGTGCAGGCTGGACTGAGGGACAACCCCCCCCCCCCCCCCCCCAGTGCACAAATTTCGCGCACCAGGCCTCTAATATATATATATATATATAGCTAATATGCAGTGTCCCCTCTCGGGAGTTTGACTGGGAGAGCTGGAGTTCAATTGTTTACTATAATGTGTGCTGACCTCCAGGGGGTGGCACGAAATGGAGGAAGGCATCCATCAGCCCTGATTGCTGGCCCTACCCATGCACCAATTCCATGCACTGAGCCTCTAGTCTAATTAGAAAAAGATGAAACCCAGAGTGTGGATGGCCACACCGGAGGGTCGGATCCAGGGGATGGGGAGTGGGGGCGTGGGGGTGGGAGGAGAGAGTCAGGAGGCTTCCAGGAGGCCCCTGGAGGATCTGAGCAGGAAGAGGGGAAAGAGGGGGCATTCCTGACAAGACACCAGCCAGGCAAAGCTTGGAGGTGGGACTATAAACACCAAGTATCCCCTGGGGGTCTCCACTGGCAGGACAGTAACCCTGAAACCTAGAGCCCCCTGGTGGCCAAACCTTAAGGTGAACAACCAAGCCCTTCCAACAGTGCTTTCATGGGGGAGGTCTAATTCCATGTCCAGAGGAGGCAACTGAAAACGAGAGGAGTCAAGTCACCCACCCAGGCTCACTCAGCTCGGCCTCCGAAAGCTGAGGTCTGGCCCTAATCCGTTTGGCCTACGGACTATCCCAGGTTCGATTCCGGTCAAGGGCATGTGCCTTGGTTGCGGGCACATCCCCAGTGGGGAGTGTGCAGGAGGCAGCTGATCGATGTTTCTCTCTCATCAATGTTTCTAACTCTCTATCCCTCTCCCTTCCTCTCTGTAAAAAAAAAAAATCAATAAAATATATTTAAACAAAAAACAAAAGCTGAGGTCTGGGGACCCCACTCAGCTGGGCCTCACCCATCACAGACACCAGGAAGGGATTCAGGTGTGAGCGGGTGGGGAGCAATTCCCTGGTCTTCAAGAGCCCCAGGTAGACCCTGGTGTGACCCCCAGCTCAGTCCCTCCCCAGCCAGGTGACCTCAGGCCAGTTTCCCCAGTTCAGGCCACAGCAATGAGATTATGCGAATGATGAGAGGGGGCTGGCCTGCAGAGTGATCAAGGCTCAGCGAAGCACCTTGATTCCTGAGCCCTGTGCCCATCAAGGCGGCTTTGTTTATTCTTCTACAGGCAAACAGGAAACGTGGGTGCACAGCAGGTGCTCAGGAAGGTAGCACAGGAGTGAGGCCAGCTCCCCTCTCCCTGCCCCCGCTACTCCCACTCGCTCAGGAGTGGAAAGTTGCTCAGTCCCCTCCTCCCTCAGACCCTGGAGCCCAGGCCCCCACCCCAGCTCCTGCAGGGTCAGAGGTAACGGGTCGGGTCGTGCCTCCCTCCCAGAAGCCCTGGGCAAAGGTCACCCGGGCTTATTCCCAGTGTCATTTTCAGGCGCCCCGTGCCCAAAGCTCCTCTAGAACTGGGGTCCCTAGAAAGTGAGAACTGCGGGAACGGCTTCTTTCTGAGCTGGGGGCTGGACCTGCTCCTGCTGCTCCTCCTGTGGAGTCCCCGATGCAGCCACCACCGCCGGCCCCACCTCGTCCCGCCCCCGGCGGCCCTTGCCGATGGCCAGGCGGGGCCGGCCGCGGTCCAGGCCGTCCAGCAGGGCGCAGGCCTGGCAGAGCGTGCGGCTGGCCAGTGCCCCGCAGCGGGAGCAGGCGCCGGCGGGCGGGGGCCGCGCGGCCGGGGCCAGCGCCAGGCGCTCGGCCGAGTGCACCAGGTCCAACACCGCCGACGGCCGCGCCGCCTCCAGCAGCTTGAGCAGGTGGCGCGCGTGGCCGCGGAAGGCCTCGGGCGCGTACACGCACTCCTCGGAGAAGTAGTCCAGGCGGCGGAAGTGCGCGTACAGCACCACCTCCTTCTGCGAGGCCAGCTGCAGCGGGCGGCAGCGTGGCAGGGCGCCCCCCTCGCCCGCCGAGCCCAGGCCACCGCCCCGGGCCAGCCGGCCCGCGTCGCCCCGCAGGAAGTTCATGAGCACCGTCTCTGCCATGTCATCCGCGTTGTGGCCTGGAGGGAAGAGGAGGAGAGAGATGGGAGCTGGTCAGAGAGGGCGCAGGGGGCGCTGCTGCTCATGGGGACCCGGGGGCACAGGGGGTGAGGGTTGCAGAAGGTGGACACGGTGAGAAACGGAGAGGACAAGGCCCCCCCATGTCCTCACTGTCACCCACCTACTGGGCGAGCCAGGCAGGCCCTGTGCTGAATGCCTACTGGAGATCGAGCCCGCAACCCAGGCATATGCCCTTGACCTGAATCGAAGCTGCGACCCTTCAGCCCTCAGGAGTCCGCAGGCCGAGGCTCTATCCACTGAGCCAAACCAGCCAGGGCTAGAATGTCATTTTTAAAACGCAGAGAAGCACGGCCCTAGGCCCTAAGGGTACCCCTCCAGCCCTCTACTGGCCCCTGTGTGTGTGCACCAAGGTGATGGCAGAGGCTCAAAAGCTCGCCACGCCTGCCCTGCCCTTTCCTGGGGGACGCACACACACCACGCCCATGAACCTTCTGGGGGGACGCATATCGCTTTAACTGAGGCCCTCCGGGGTCTCCTTTTCACTTCTCGGGCATGCGCATTAGCCCCGGTCATTGCTGCCCTCGCCTGCGCATGCGCACCCCTTCCTCCCACAAAGTCCCTCCTGCGGCCCCGCATGCGCTCACCCGTCACGACGTGCGTGGCTCCCACGTGGAGAGCCTCTTCCACAAAGTCCCTCGCGCAGCCGCGCATGCGCGCCCCTTCCTCCCACAAAGTCCCTCCTGCGGCCGCACATGCGCTCACCGGTCACGACGTGCGTGGCTCCCACGTGGAGAGCCCCTTCCTCCCACAAAGTCCCTCCCGCAGCCGCGCATGCGCGCCCCTTCCTCCCACAAAGTCCCTCCTGTGGCCGCACATGCGCTCACCGGTCACGACGTGCGTGACTCCCACGTGGAGAGCCCCTTCCTCCCACAAAGTCCCTCCCGCAGCCGCGCATGCGCTCACCGGTCACGACGTGCGTGGCTCCCACAAGGCGCGCCCCTTCCTCCAGCGCGCGCCGCCGCAGCACCCCGCAGAAGGTGCAGCAGGAGCGGCTGCGGCCGGAGCCGGCCGTGCTGCGGGCCACGGCGTCCATTGTCCAGCCCCCGAAGAGGTCGGCGTAGGCCACGATGGTGAGCGGCAGCTCCCAGCGCGCCGCCTGGCGCCGCACGGCCGCCAGCGCCGCGTCCCGGTAGCCGCCGATGCCCTCGTCCACCGCCACCAGCTGCAGCGAGACGCCCAGGCGCGGCGCCAGCTCGCGCAGCACGTGCGCCAGCACCGTGGAGTCCTTGCCGCCCGAGGCCCCCACGGCCACCACGGCGCCGGGCGGCAGCAGGCGGCCCGCCACCACCGTGTGCAGCACCTCGGCCTCGAAGGCGGTGCAGAAGCAGGCGCCGCACAGCGCTTGGCCGGAGCGCGGGCGGCGGAGGGCGGCGCGGGCCTTGCCGCAGGAGGCGCACTGCGGGGCCGGCATCGCGGGGGTCCGGGCGGGTGGGTGCAGAAGGGTCCGCTGCTCCTGGATTGGAAGAGAAGGGAGGCGGTTACAGGTGGATCCGGATGGATGGCGGGGTCATCTCTAAGCGAGACTGTGGAAAGCGCTCTGCCTGAAACAGATCCGAGGAGGAGTGTGCCCATGGAGCAAGCTGATAGATTAAATAGAGAAGTGTGGAGACCGGGATGGCAGGGCACAGGCTTTATTGGAGGGGAGAATACCCCCTGCCGGCTGCTTCCAGAGAGAGCGCGCGGAAGAGAGCGAAGGCCAGGCTGGGATACAAGCACCTTTAAGGATAGGGGACGGGGCTTAGAGCACTCAGCACACGCTGATTGGTGATTAGGGACATAGGGACTTAGGAATCAGGGGCTTAGGGTATTTGGCAGGTGCTGATTGGTGGCTCAGAGCTCAGGAACGTCTGGCAGCAGGTGGGGTTTACAACTGTCCATCAACTGGAGGAAGAGAGGATCTATCACAGGCTTTGGAGACGGCGTGGCCTACACAAGTTCTGGCTTAAGGATTCTGCTATGACAGGCACAGCATTCTCCATAGTCAGAGGTATCCTGCCCAGTAGCTTGTCTACATCCTCTCTTGCGTCTCACTTCACTTCATGGCCGATGGCCTATTAACAGGGGAGAACTAGAATCTGATAATGGAGCACCTGAATTAATCTGAAAGGTAATCATATTATTTTAAATCTTTAAAAAATATATTTCATTGATTTTTTACAGAGAGGAAGAGAGAGGGAGAGAGAGTTAAAAACATGCCTCCTGCATACCCCCACCCGGGGATGTGCCCACAACCAAGGTACACACCCTTGACAGGAATCAAACCTGGGACCCTTCAGTCTGCAGGCCGATGCTCTATCCACTGAGCCAAACCAGTCAGGGCTTATTTTAATCTTAAAATACATATACTTATGTGAATAGGGGGTTAAGTTTTTAAGTTTCCTTTTCTTTTAAAAAAAATATTTTTATTTATTTCAGAGAGGAAGGGAGAGAGAGAAATATCCATGATGAGAGAGAATCATGGATCAGCTGCCTCCTGCATGCTTCACACTGGGGATTGAGCCCACAACCTGGGCATGTGCCCTGACGGTGAATCGAACCCTGTCCTCCTGGTTCATAGGTTAATGCTAAAACTGCTGGGCCACGCTGGCTGGGCTTAAGTTTCCTTTCCAAGGCCTGTGCAAACCAGTGAAGGAGGTGACTCAGCTGTGGATTCAGCAAGCAGAATTGAACCTGTAAGCACGGTCAGACCGACCCACCAGGAGTCAAAACATCATCTCATTGCCTGATGGCACGGACAATAGCTGACCTCCGTTCCCAGCCTCACCCTAGCCTCTTCCCCTTTATAATCCTGCCCCCTGTACCCTGCTACAAGGAAGGATTTGAATGCTTGCAAGCGCCCTGTGTTCTTGGTTGGCTGGCCTTCTCAGTAAATGCCTTATGTCATTCAACCCTGCCTTCCTCGTAATTGGACACAGCGACAGGCAGCCAGAGCCCATATCCTGATAACACCATGGAGCGCTATGCGATCTGGCTTCCTTTTCCAGTGACCTCCTACCCCAGTCTCCTTCCGCCATGCTGGCCTCTCCTCTCAAGACATCCCAGGGACACTCCGGTCTGTGTCTGCACTGGCTCTTCCCTCTGCCTAGAACCATGGTCGGCAAACTGCGGCTTGCGAGCCACTTTCGGCTCTTTGGCCCCTTGAGTGTGGCTCTTCCACAAAACACCATGGCCTGGGCAGTCTATTTTGAAGAAGTGGCATTAGAGGAAGTTTAAATTTAAAAAAATTTGACTCTCAAAAGAAATTTCAATCATTGACCTGTTGATATTTGGCTCGGTTGACTAATGAGTTTGCCGACCACTGGCCTAGAATATTCTTCTGTCACTGGGCTCAGCAAGGAGCTCTTAGGACCCATCCTCCATGACTGCCTGTCACCCTTGAAATCTTTTCTCCTTCTAGTTTTTGTTTTTGAAAATAGTTTGCTGATTTGTAGAGAGAAAGAAAGGGAGAAAAAAGAAACATCGATGTGAGAGTACAATATCGATTAGCTGCCTCCCGCACCTGCCTGGATGAGGGATTGAGACGGAAACCCGGGCATGTGCCCTGACTGGAAATCGAACCGGCAACCCTTCGGTGCACAGGACAATGCCCACATCACTGAGCCACACCAGCCAGGGCTCTCCCTCTAGTTTTTTTTTTTTTTTTTTTTTTTTTTTAAGTAAATTTTATTGATTTTTTTACAGAGAGGAAGAGAGAGGGATAGAGAGTTAGACACATCAATGAGAGAGAAACATCAATCAGCTGCCTCCTGCACACCCTCTACTGGGGATGGGCCCGCAACCAAGGTACAAGCCCTTGACAGGAATCGAACCTGGGACCCTTCAGTCCGCAGGCCGATGCTCTATCCATGTAGCCAAACCGGTTTCAGCTGGACTTACGTATTAAAACGATCCCTTTCGCTGCTGTGAGGAGAACAGACTATGTTCCCTACAAAGGGTAAAGACCGGGAGGCCTTCGAGGAGGCTATCAGGCAATTAACAGTCAGTGGGAGCCTTGGCTGGTGGGCTCAGTTGGTTGGGCATCGTCCCTTTGATTCCTGGTCAGGCCAGAATCCTGGTTGCGTGTTCTTGGGTCATCACATTGACATTTTTCTCTCTCCTTCTTCCTTTCCTGTCCTCTCTCTCTAAAATAAAAAAAAAACATATTTGGAAAATATTTTAAAAAACAAAAAAAAGAAAGAAAAAGTCAGAGATAATGTGGCCCGGGTCGGGGTGGTGGCAGTGGAGGTGGGAAGAAACGGGGGTTTGGATCTGTTTTGAAAGTAGAGCCATAGGACTTGCCCAGGATTTGGACTAGGGTGGAGGATAGGGTGATGAGAAAAGAAAACTGAAGAATGGCTTTGAGGTTTGAGGCAAGGCACCTAGGGCGAGGATGGGACAGTTAGTGGGGAGGTGGGGAGGGAACAACTAGGAATTCCACTGGGACATGTCAGGTTTGAAGTCCCCCTTAAGCAAACGTCTTCCCTTCAAAGACTTTAGGGACTCCAGGATGGGCCTGGCCCCTCCTCCGGGCTCCCAGAACTGCCTCATCCCAGCCCAACCAGGACTCTACCTGTCCCTGACAGGCCTGACTGCCCACTGCGAGCTCAGTAACAGCAGGGCTGGGTCTGCCTCTCCACCATCGTCTCCCTCCACTTCGCACACAGTGTCGGCGCTCAGTATATGTCTGTAGGATGAAGGGGTAATAAGTGCACCCCGAGGACGGCACGCGGACCCCTGGGAAGCCTGCGGATTGCTGCCTTGTCAAGAGGATGGATGTGGTGTGACCGCTATCATGACGGGGGTTCTAGGGCAGAGCAGGGACCTTCCGGACACGAACCGGATTAGAGGCCGGGGCAGGGACATGGTCGAACCCGACTTGGGGAAGGCAAGAGACAGGCGAGCCTCCGTGTCCCACGTGGGGATCCTGGACAGAAGGAAGGCCTGGGGATACAGACGCTGGGAAATCACAAAGGCGAGACCCTAACTCACCCGACACCGCAACCAAAAGCGGCCGCCCGCGGGCCCACCCGCCCGGGGAGAAAATACTCACTTTATGCAGAATGTGGTGCTGGGGTGGCCAAGCTGCTAGACAAGCGGAAGCCCCGCACGGAAGTGGCTCCGGAGACTACGACTCCCACAAGGCTGTGCGGCTGTCTTGCCTACGGCTCCCAGAATCCCATGCAAAAGCTCTGTTCCAAAGCACATGTGGCTACTGGGCCCGCTTGGCCTACAACTCCCAGCAATCCTTGCGGCTCCCCTTGGGCTCCGCCTACCGCTTCCCAAAGGCATCGCCGGGTTTCCTTTCTGCGCCTGCGCAGAGGCTTGGGTACGCAGTTTAGCTGTGTGCAAAGTGGCTGCGTCCGCATATCTGCTTTTGTGGGATTATTATAGGCTTTTTAATGGATTTGAGGTGGGGTTGCAGGTGGAAATTGAAGGTGGGAGTGAGGAGTTCGGTCGGGAGGTCAGCGCGTGCACAGGACAGACTTTCCGAGGGTGGGGGGCTCCTAGGGTCTGTGGATTGGGGTGTGTGTGGGGATGGGGGTGGGGATGAGGGGATCTCCTCATGTCTGCGGATTGATTTTGGTGCACATGAGCACGTGGAATGGGGAACAAGCCGCCGTGAGGGAGCTGAGGTTTTTGCCCCTGCGTCTGTTGTTAATGGCGGGGTCTCTGTAGGTACCCCTGGCTGGCCCTGGGTAGTGGATGTGCATGGCATCCGCTGCACAGGCCTGGCCAGAGGACCGGTACACATTTCCTGTTATGTAAAGGTGGAGCTGGGTGCTGGAGGGTGAGGGAGAGGTCCTGATGGGACTAGGACAGTAGTCGGCAAACTCATTAGTCAACAGAGCCAAATATCAACAGTACAACGATTGAAATTTTTTTTGAGAGCCAGATTTTTAAACTTAAAACTTCTCCTAACACCACTTCTTTAAAATAGAGTGTCTATGCATGCTAAAATCTTTGGCTTCCCTCCCCAGTGGTCACAGCTCTGACCCCACTCCATGTTGTGGGTAATGGTTTTGCAAAAGGCATATTATGGGAGGGCAAATTCCTGAACTTGAATGGAAGGAAACAGACTGCAATTGTTTTCCATATATAAGTCTTTAGAAAAACATATGCAAAGCCATCATATTAAGGGAAGCAGGCTGGGGTGATAAACACAAAGAAAAACAAGGACACAATTAGTTTTCAAGTGAGGCTAGGGGATCCTTTGGGGGTTTGGGGTGTGGTGATAAGGATAGGGGACCCAGCAAGAGGTTCCACACAACATTCTTTTTCTTTTCTGTAACTAGCATCCTATATAATAAAAGGTAATATGCAAATCGATAGAACAGCGGAACAACTGGTCACTCTGACGTGCACTGACCACCAGGGAGCAGATGCTCAACACAGGAGCTGCCCCCTGGTGGTCAATGCACTCCTACAGGGGGAGCACCACTCAGCCACAAGCTGGGCTGACGGCTGGCATGCACAATGGCCCACCTCCTTGGCAGCACTAAGGATGTCCGACTGCAGCTTAGGGCAGGCCTAAGCTGTCAGTTAGACATCCCCTAAGGGCCTCCAGACTGCAAAAGAATGCAGGCCTGGCCGAGGGACCCTCCCACGCTCCCGAGTGTACGAATGTCATGCACCAAGCCTCTAGTTTCTTTATAATAAAAATCCAATGTCTCAAACATGGTGATTCCTTCTTTAATGGCACATTTCCTCCTAAATCAAGACATTGGTTTTACCTTGGGCACAGACATTAGGGTGGGGAAGGCTTAGGGCAGAGGGAAGAACAGGGAAAGACTGGAGGTAGTTCATGGAGGCACAATGGGGACATATGTAATACTCTCAACAATAAAAATATACGTAAAAAGGCCGAAGCCGGTTTGGCTCAGTGGTAGAGCGTCGGCCTGTGGACTGAAAGGTCCCAGGTTCGATTCTGGTCAAGGGCATGTACATTGGTTGCGGGCACATCCCCAGTAAGGAGTGTGCAAGAGGCAGCTGGTCGATGTTTCTCTCTCATTGACGTTTCTAGCTCTCTATCTCTCTCTCTCTTCCTCTCTGTAAAAAGTCAATAAAATATTATATATATATATATATATATATATATATATATATATATATATACTTAAAAAGAAAGAAATGGATTTTAGCCTGGCTGGGTAGCTGAATTGGTTAGAGCATCATCCCAATACACCAAAGTTGTGGGTTTGATCTCCAGTCAGGGCACATATGAGACTCAACCAATGAATACACCAATAAGCGGAACATGCCCAGCCAGTGTGGCTCAGTGGTTGAGCATCAGCCTATGAACCAGGAGGTCACAGTTCGATCCCAGGTCAGGGCACATGCCTGGATTGCAGGCTCCATTCCCAGTAGAGGGCAAGCAGGAGGCAACTGATGGATGAGTGTGTTGCAATGTCACTGAGCTGATGTCCTGTTCTCATCCTGGCCATCTTCCTCTCCTAGATTCTGGTTATGCTTGTGAGGGCTCAATGTTATGCAAATAGCCATTTATTATTATTATTATTTATTATTATTGTTGTTGTTGCTGTTGTTGTTGTTGTTGTTATTATTATTATTATTATTATTATTATTATAGAGGCCTGGTGCATGAAATTCATGAATGGGGGTGGGGTGGGGAGAGGGTGGGTCCCTCAGCCTAGCAGTCGGACATCTTTGGTTAATCTCTTCCCGCCCCCCCCCCTTCCTTCTCTCTGAAATCTTCATTTGTGTTCCCACTGGACAGAGATTCTGAAGGAGCGTCCAGGGATGGCATGCAGCCTTGTGAGCAGAGAAGGGTGCTCAAAGCATGGCTGCTGAGGGAGGAAAGATCACTGGCCTCCTTAGCTCTCCCCCTGCCAGGCCTTCCCTATCTCCAATGTTCCCACCGCTGGCTGGCTGACCTCCACAGACATCTGCAGCCTGTGACTAGGGCGTCTGCCCAACTTTTATGTTTGCAGAAAATGACCTCCAAGTGGAAGGGCATGCCGGGCAAGTAGGAGGTGGGCTGAGGTCCTGCCTGGGTGTGACTTGGATGCCTCTCTCACTCTCTCTGGCCTCCAGGTTCCCAGGAGTGGAAACGGGCAGGGGACGGGTGATCTTTAAGGGCTGTCTGGGACCTGACAGTGTCAGAGCCCGACCTTTCTCCTCTGATGAAGGTCACTGCTCTGCTCTGACCTTCATCTTCCTGTGAGGCTTTCTGTAAATCGTGCAACATTTATTCAGAGATAAACAATGAGAAACACAATTCCCCAGAGAGAACTTGGTACCACAGACCCCAGACAGGCCACTGTTTGGCTTGGGGTAGGAGGTACGAAGGCCAGAGGATGCTCAGGACAGATAACCAGGCCTGGTCGCCCTGGGCTCTGGGCTGTGGGGTGTCCTCCCCCCACTGTGCAGAGGGGGGCGAGCTCAGGCTCTGAGGTTCCTCCTCTGTGGACGGGGAGGTCCTGGGCTGCTCCCCAGCTTTCCTGGTCTCTCTGCAGGCCCCTCCCACTCACTGTCTTGCTTCTCTTTCCAGCAACAAGGAGCCCAGATACCCTCAGAGATGCTGTGGCTGCTACTGCCCCTGCTGTGGGCAGGTGAGTGCCTGAGGGGAAGGGGCCGGCAGAGGAGGGGGACTGAGGCTGACCCTCATTTCCCTGCAGGGTCCATGGCTCAGGATAGCAGATACACGCTGCACATGCAGTCCACCGTGACGGTGCAGGAGGGCTTGTGTGTCCATGTGACCTGCAAGGTGTTCTACTCCTACGAAGGATGGGATGTGTCTACACCAGCTCATGGCTACTGGTACAAGGGAGAGACACATGAAAATAAGGTTTTGGTGGCCACAAACAACCCAGATCCTAAACTGCAGGAGGAGACCCAGGGCCGATTTCACCTCCGTGGGGATCCCAGGACCTACAACTGCTCCCTGGACATCAGAGACGCCCGGAGGACAGATGAGGGATTATACTATTTTCGGTTGGAGAGAGGAGGTACCGCTAAATATTCTTACCTAGAAAACAAGCTCTCCGTGCGAGTGACGGGTAAGGAACGGGCTCCAGGAAAGGCCACAGGGGAATTTATGGTGGCCCCGGGCAGAGCTGGGATGGGCTCCATCCTGGGAGTGGATCAGGGTGTAGTGTGTTGGGCTCAGAGGCAGGAGCTGGACCAAATTCTGAGGCTTCTCTCAAGGCCACACCTAGGACCCTCCCTCCTGATCTCCTGTCTCTCCCTCCTCACCAGCCCTCAACCACACACCCCACATCCTCACCCCTGAAACCCTCGAGAGCGGCCGCCCCAGGAACCTGACCTGCTCTGTGCCCTGGGCCTGTGAGCGGGGCACGCCCCCCACCTTCTCCTGGACCTCAGCTGCCCACAGCTCCCTGGGCCCCAGGACCCACCTCTCCTCCATGCTCACCCTCACCCCACGGCCCCAGGACCACGGCACCTACCTCACCTGTCAGGTGCACTTTCCTGCCGCTGGTGTGACCGTGGAGAGAACCATCCAGCTCAATGTCACCTGTGAGTGCTGGGTCAGAGCACCAGGTTCCTGAGGGTGTGCAGAGGAGGTCCAGGCAAGGGTGCTGGGTCCTATGTCCTGGAGGCCTGACTGTGTAGGAGACATAGAGCACATAGCTCTGCTCCTCTTGCTTTTCTGTTGCCTCTGGGGGTGGGCAGGTGCCACCTTCACTTGTCACATGACCTTGCCTGGGGCCAGAGTGACCACCATGTGGACCATGCACCTCACCATGTCCTGTGAGAGCTGGGCCAGCATCCAGGAGTCCCAAGGGCAGTAGAGATGGGGGTTGGGGACCTCAGACACTGGGTGCTGGGTCCTAGACCTGGTCTGGGAAGGTGTCAGAGGGATGGCTGCTCCCACCGTGCTTCCATTTAAGCAGCTTCTGGGGCCCCAGAGCCCATGTCTACCCAGCCCTCACCACTTACTTTGTTCCTCCTGGTCTTTCTGTCCCAGACTCTCCACAGACGTCGACCATAACCGATTTCCAAGGAAATGGCTCAGGTAGGAGGGAGCCAATCATGGACTGTAGGGAGGAGGGCGTCTCCTAGGTCAGGGAGGACAGGGCTGATCCCTGACTCATCCTGGACTCACCCCATGACCAAGTACCCCACTGGTCCCTCTTTTTTTCTCAGTCCTCATGGCTGCTCTCCAAGCCCCCTGACACCTTCGCCAGAAGAACTTGGCACCCTCCCCATGGCTGAGCTGCCGCTCGAGGCCCCTGGTCCTCCATCTCCTGATGAGTCCTCCCGGCTCAAATTTTCATTTTCCTCCAATAGTTTAAGTTGTGTATTTTCCAATAGGTAATATAGTCACACTAGAGGCCTGGTGCATAAAATTTCTGCACAGGTACGGTCCTTAGGCCTCCCTGCCTCCTTCTTCCCTCGCTCCCTCAGCACCAGGCCACCTCCACTGCTGGTTGCCCTCCTGGTGGCACAAGTCATAGCGAGTGATCGAACTCCTGCTCTCCCAGTTGAACTCCCGGGGGGGGGGGGGGGGGATTTGCATATTATATATAGGCAAAAATGGAAAGGTATTGAAGATTCCCTGTCACCTCCCTGGAAGTGAGCAGTGTCCACGCACTGCCATGAGACCTGGGGGTTGGTCTCTTGAAGGATCTCACAGGCCCTTCTCCCTCCATAGGACAGACATCCCCATCCCTCTCCGTGCCTATGCAGTATTCCACAACATGGGTGGATTCTAATTGTGTGCACATATTTAAAAAAAAAAAAAAAGTAATATCAGTATTATTTTTGATAATCAATATAAATGAGTTAAAACCCCATAAAAATGCAAAGACTCTCAGATTAGATCAAAACACGCCATCAAACTATATTCTGTAGAAACTGTAAAGAAAGGCACTCAATAAGGTCAGGGGCTACATATTTTTGTTGATTTCAGAGAGGAAGGGAGAGGGAGAGAGGCAGAAACATCAATGATGAGAGAGAATCATTGATTGGCTGCCTCCTGCACGCACTCCTGCATGTGCCCTTGGCCGGAATTAAACCTGGGACCCTTCAGTCCGTAGGCTAACGCCCTCCCACTGAGCCAAACCAGCCGGGGCTGTGTGTACATCTACTAACAGAGACCCAGGGCGTTCATCTGACTCTGCTCACCTCAACTCTGCAATGAATACCCTGCCTCCACTTTCACAACGCTGTGTGTGTGTGGGTGTCTGTGGGATAAGTTTCTGAAAGCAACCCATAGCTACTAGGATTTCACACCTCTGAAAGTTTGGAGGGAAGTGGTCAAGTTGTTCTGCACGGAAGGCAGATAAGCGTTGGTTCCCACCAGCCGCAGGGTGAGAGCCTGTCAGCCCATGTCAGCCTGTCTGTTCCTCTCCTCGGCTCTCCTCCCACATCCTTCTACTCCCTCTCCACCTTGTGGTCACTCTGACCCTCTGTCTCTTCTACTCCAGCACCCACAGTCCCCGAGAACAGCTCGTCTCTCGCACAGAGCCTGGTGTGTGTGGTGGACAGCAACCACCGCCCCCTGCCCCCCAGCCAGGCTCAGCTGGGCCTGGAGGCTGCAATGGAACCTGACCCTGAGTGCCTCCAGGCCTGAGGGCCCTGGGGTCCTGGAGCTGCCTCCAGTGCAGGTCGGGGATGAAGGGGAGCTCACCTGCCAGGCCCAGCAGCCTGGGAGCTCTCTGCACTCCTCCCTGAGCCTCTCTGTACAGAGTGAGTGCCCCCGTGGATGGGCAGGGGAGAAGAGGAGGGCACTGGAGGAAACCAGCACCCACTCCACCCTCACAGTCTCCCCCCATTTCCCCCCCGACTGCCCCCTACACACATACAGCCCCCTGAACTTCAGAGAGGAGGTCAGCTCTGCTCTGGGCTCCGCTGCGAAAGCCCAAAACTTCCCTGGGATTTAAAGTGCCCCAGTCCTCTTCCTGTGTGGCCAGTGCTGTGGGTGGCGTGGGTCTGGGAGGGAGAAGCCAGGGAGAGGAGGTGGGTCTTGGGAGAGGGGCTGAGGCTGGGACAGGGGTGTCCCTGGACAATACAAGGCCCTTGCTTTTCGGGGCCAGAGGAGGGTCAGACAAGCGAGGCACTCCTCTTGGGCACAACATTTAGAGAGAAGCCACAGAAACCTCAGCCACGAAGAGAAACAGGACCACAGTGCAATGTTGTTGTTGTTGTTGTTGTGTGTGTGTGTGTTGTTTTGTTTTGTTTTGTTTTGTTTTTCAATAAAACTAAATGCAACATGAGCCCCACAAGAACAAAATCTCCAAGCTCCCAATAAGAACAGGCTTCCACCCAGCTCCGGGCACCTTGCTTGCCTCACCCTGATCTCCAACACCCCCCCCCCCCGCCCTGTTTCTGTATTTTGCACCCTGCAAAGGGGCCAGAAAACACACTTCTGGGGGCTGTCCCTGCCAGGCGCAGGAGGAGGGAAGACTGAATTCTCAGGTGAGACATCCTCCCCATCATCCCATCTGTCTGCAGGGAGAGAGTGGTCATCATCATCGTCGTCATCATCGGGAGTGATGCTGGGGGCATTTGGGGGCACAGGTGTGACCACCCTGCTCTTCCTGGCCTTCAGTGTCATCGTCATCACGTGAGCACAGATCTGCGGAGGGAGGGAGGGAAGGAGAGAAAGAGGGAAGCAGGGAGGGAGGTAGGGAGGGCCCTGGGCTGAGAGGTCAGGAGGCCATGGAATCCCTGAACCCAGAGCTGGAGGGACTGAGGCGGGAGGTGGGCAAGGGAAGGGGGGGCAGAGCCTGAAGCCTAGGCAGGAAGCGGGTCCCTGGCACCTTGAGTGGGCGTCACAAACCTCTGGCTCCAGGAGGGGGAGCTGCATTCTCAATCTTGGGACCACCTCGGTCACCCCTCCAGCCCCTTAAGAGAGGACAGAGGGGGAGTGTTGGTCTGCCCTCCATACCTGGGACTGGCGGACTGAAGGGCAACCTGGTCTCTTCACTCAGAGTGAGATCCCGCAGGAAGAAGGCGGCAAGGGCAGCAGCGGGCACAGGGGACACAGGCATGGAGGGTGCAGACGCCGCCCAGAGGCCAACCCCTCAGGTGAGTGACCTGGGCATCTCGAGATCCTGCAGCCCACATGGACACCTCCCTCAGGAAGGCCCCCTGGGTTGCCTTGCTCAGCATGGACAAGTTGTTCTCCAGGAATGGAAGACGCCCCCTTTCTTTACCTGCTGCCCCCAAATCCACCATGTCTCGCTAATTTTTCCTCCTAAGAACAGCCAGCATTGATCCCCCATTCTCTCCATCTTTGTTTGGTTGTTTTGTGAATCTTCACCCGTGGATATTTTTCTCATCGATCTTTAGAGAGAGTGGAAAGGAGGGGGAGAGACACTCAGAGAAACATCATGGGAGAGAGACACATCTATGGGTAGCTTCTCACACCTGCAACCAAGACTCATGCCCTTGACCAAAATTGAACTTGCTACCCTCTGGCCCACTCGCCAGTGCTATAACCACTGAGCCAAACCGGCTAGGGCCTCTCTCTCTCCATCTTGACCCCCATCATTGCTGAAGCTGAGGAATCACTTCCCCTCATTTCCCTGCTTCTAGCTCTGTTGCCTTATGCAGAGGGATTGTCTGAAGGCCATCACCGTCCCAGATGCTCTGCCTCTGGACATCTGTTTGCCCTTGTTGCCTGATCAGAGGCTGGCAAACATTTTCTATAAAGGGTCAGATAGCAAGTCTTTTTGGCTTTGTGGGCCATACAGTGTCCGTGGCAGCCACTTGGCACTGCTATCCACTATATATAAATGAACTAGGGGCCTGGTGCACAAAATTTGTGTCCAGTGGGGGGGACGGGGGCGGGGGGGGCGGGGTTTGTCCCTCAGCCCAGCCTGCACCCTCTCCAATCTGGGACCCCTCGAGGGATATCTGACTGCCCATTTAGACCTGATCCCACTGGGCAGTCAGACATCGCTGTCACAATCCAGGATTGCTGGCTCCCAACTGCTCGCCTGCCTGCCTTCCAGATTGCTCCTGCTTCTTCCTGCCAGCCTGATCACCCCTAACCACTCCCCTGCCTGTCTGATCAACACCCAACTGACCAATTGCCCCTGACTGCCCTCTCTTGCAGGCCTGGTCCCTCCCAACTGCCCTTCCCTGACAGCCATCTTGTGGCAGCCACATTTTGTTCACATGGGGGCAGCCACCTTTGACCACATGGGGGCAGCCATCTTGTGTGTTAGAGTGATGGTCTATTTGCATATTCCTTCTTTATTATATAGGATGAGTATGGCTGTGTTCCAATAAAACTTTATTTACAGCCCTAGCTGGTATGGCTCAGTGGAGAGAGCATCAGCTTGCAGACAGAAGGGTCCCTGGTTCGATTCCGGCCAAGAGCACAAAAATCAGCAATAGGTGGGATTTTATTCAAGGACTGTCGTTCAGCACCCCCTGACCCAAACTCCTCAACTTGCAGCTCTGTGAATTCTGGCCTCTCCGACATCCCTCTTACAATCCCACCTCTCCAGAATGGCCATGGTTAGGGTTAAGGTTAGGGTTGGAGTTGGAGTTAGGATTAGGATTAGGGTGAGGTGAGGCATTCTCCTAGAAGCAAAGCTAATGGGATGCCAAAAATCTCAGTAAATAAGACAATGTGTTTTCTAGGAAAAAAAAAAAAAAAAAAAGTCTTTATTGATTTTTTTTTAGAGAGAGAGGAAGGGAGGGGAATAGAGAGATAGAAACATCAATGATAGAGAAACATCAGAGATTCGCTGCCTCCTGCACGCTCCGTACTGGGGATCAAGTCCACAATCCAGGCATGTGCCCTGACTGGGAATCGAACCGATGGCCTTTTGGTGCCATGGGATGGACCTGATTCCACCGGGCAGTCGAACATCCTTGCCCAACCCACTGAGCCACACCAGACAGGTGACTCAGACTTGTTTTTCTTTCCCTCCACTCAGGGTTCCCTGAATGAATCCCAGCTGGACAGCCGCCCAGAGCCCCTTCCCCCAGCCCTGGCTGCCACCTCCTCGGGGAAGAGAGAAGAGATTCAATATGCATCCCTCAGATTTCATAGGATAAAGCCTGGGAACCCTCAGGGACAGGAGGGCATCCCTGAAAACGAGTACTCGGAGATCTTGATGTGAAGGCGGGAATTGCAGAGACCTGGCCTCTGGAGGGCAAAGAAAACAAACAACAAACAACAAACAAACAAACAAAAAAAAAAAAAAAAAAAAAAAACCCAGGCAGATCCCTGCAGAATTAAAAGCCCTCTGGGTGATGAGTTAAAAGCTTGGTGGAAAGAACACTGGCTTTGGAACCAAAGAGCTGTGAGTTCAAATCCACGCCCCGCCCCTTTCCTGAGTAAAGTGACGGACGGGTCCCTGACTCCCTGTGCCTCAGTTTCCTGCCCTGTGGACCCAGTGGAGAAGCCCTACCTGAAAGTCTGTGATGAGAATTCTGGGAGTGAAGTCCTACCGGCGCACCCGCCTCCATGTGTAGGCCACTCACGTGCTGGATCTCTGGGGTTTTGCACAGAAAGGTCCTACCAGGAATTTCCTCCTGACCAGCACCAGTCCTCGCACCCTGAGGTTCCTCGTCCTGGAACGTCCCACCCAGCCTTTCTCTGCTTCTGTCCTTGAAAGTGGAGCTCAAGGGGTGCCCTTCGAGCAAGTGGATCGAGGTGTAGAAATAGAGAATTTTCCCCTGACTGGTGTTGCTCAGTGGATAGATCATCGGCCTGCAGACTGGAGGGTCCCAGGTTCGATTCCTGTCTAGGGTATGTTCCTTGGTTGCAGGCACATCCACGGTGGGTGGTGTACAGGAGGCAGCTGATCAATGTTTCTCCCTCATCTATGTTTCTGATTCTCTATCCCTCTCTCTTCCTCTCTATAAAAAAAAAAAAATAGTGAATTTTTCACGTGATATAATCAGTTTCTGTAATTAGAATCATACCTCTGTGTGTCTGCTTGTCTTAAACCTGGCCTCGCATTTGTTGAGGATCCTGCTGTGAGAGTCTATCATGGTTTGTGTACCCATATTTTTTTCTATGGACGAACATTTGGTTGGTTTACACAGGCGTCTTCAAACTATGGCCCGTGGGCCACATGCGGCCCGCAGAGGAGTCTGATCCGGCCCGCCAGGTTTTTTGGGCAGTGAGTGCAGCCGAGGTTTTACAGTAGGAATTAGTATTGTAGTTCATATAGTCCGGCCCTCCAGCTCTCTGAGGGACCGTGATCTGGCACCCACTTTAAAAAGTTTGAGGACGCCTGGTTTAGAGTTTGGGGCAATGACACATAAAGCAGCTGCGAGCATGTTTGTACCTGGCTGTTTCAAGATATGTTTTCATTTCTCTCAAGTGTTGGGGAGCGGGACCAAGAGGAGAGTCACATGTTGGGAGCGGGTGGGTCTCTGTAATCTCCCCATAGAGACCGTCACCCAACAGGCAGCTAGATAGATGGGTGGCATGGAGCTCAGGAGGAAGGTGGTGACTGGTGATGGACAGTGGGGACCATCGGGGTCCAATGATCCTGAGAATGAACACCTACTGATGTGGGTTGGATTGTGTCCTCAATGATAAGACCCAGAAATAGGATTTTATTTAGAGACTAGAGGCCAGGTGCATGAAATTTGTGCACCGAGAGAAGAGGCAAGGGATCCCTCAGCCCAGTCTTCACCCTCTCCAATCTGACATCCTTCTCACAATCTGGGACTGCTGGCTCCTAACTGTTCACCTGCCTGCCTGCCTGATGCCCCTAACTGCTCTCCATGCTGGCCTGATCACCCCTAACCTCCTCTGCCTCAGCCCCAGCCACCATGGCTTTGTCCAATCTGATTGGCATATTACCCTTTTGTTATTGTAGATAGGGACTTTGCAGATGCAATCAAGTTATTATGAGGTCCGAGTGGATTTGATGAGAGCCTAAATCCAGTGAACAATGTGCCCCCCCGCTCCGCCCCACACACACACACATGAAGAAGGGGATTTGGACACAGGTAAGGGAAAGGCCCATGAGACAGTGGAGGCCGAGATTGGAGTTGTGATGCTGCAGAGCCAGGAAGGCTGAGGAGGCCAGAAGAGGCAAGGCGGGACTCTTCCCAAGGGCCTCTGGGGGAGCGTGGCCCCTCCGAAACCTTTATGTGGGTCTTCCAGCCTCCAGGATGGGAGAGAACACGTTTCCACGGTTTCAAGCCACCCAGCAGCCCTAGAAAACCAGCACATTTGCTCAGGGCCTCCGTGCCTCCAGCCTCCATCCATCCTGTCTCACTCAGTCCTCACCCTGACACCTGAGGGGGTCGGTGCTGTCCCCAAGGAACAGAGGAGGCGCTGGGGAGCTGCTCGAGGCCACAGGCGGTCCTCAGCACTGGGTCCTGGGGCGTTGCCTTGAATCCAGGCGCTGTTTTAAGTCTGAATATTCCAACAGCAGCTGCTGCTCTGGCTGTCCACAGGTCCATACATTTAGCCAGGGAGGAGTCTCTCTCCCTCTCTCTCTCTCTCTCTCTCTCTCTCTCTCTCTCTCTCTGTCATTCTCCCTTCCTTTATTCCTTCCTTCCTTCCTTCCTTCCTTCCTTCCTTCCTTCCTTCCTTCCTTCCCTCCCTCCCTTTCTCCCTCCCTTCCTTTTTTCCTTCCTTTCTTCCTTCCTTCCTTCCTTCCTTCCTTCCTTCCTTCCTTCCTTCCTTCCTTCCTTCCTTCCTTCTTTAATTTTTCCTTTTTTAGAGAGAGAGGAAGGAAGAGGGAGAGAGAGAAGCATTGATGTGAAAGAGAAACATCAATTGGCTGTCTTCTGCATACCCTGGGGTAAAGCCCACAACTCAGGCATGTGGCCTGACCTGGAATTGAACTTACAACCTTTCCGTGCACAGGATGCTGCCCAATCAGCAGAGCCACACCGGCCAGGGCTCCCTCCCTTTCTCCCTCTCTCTCTCTCTCTCTCTCTCTCTCTCTCTCTCTCTCTCTCTCTCTCTCTCATAGTAATAACCACATTTGTTTAGATACTTGTGGGCACATCCACAAAGACAACTCAGAAAGAAAGTTCCAGAAATGGCATCATGGGATCTGAACTCACTTCATGCTGTTTTAATTTTATTGGTTATTTTCTGATTATAAAAGCAACTATGAGGCCTGGTACACAAAATTTGTGCACGGTGTTGGGGGGGGGGGGGTGTGCCCTCAGCCCAGCCTGTACCCTCTCCAATCTGGGACCCCTCCAGGGATGTCCAACTGCCCGATTAGGCCCAATCCTAAACAGGCAGTTGGACATCCCTCTCACAATCCAGGATTGCTGGCTCCCAACTGCTCACCTGCCTGCCTTCCTGATTGCCCCTAACCACTCCCCTGCCAGCCTGATTGATGCCTAACTGCTCTCCTGCCAGCCTGTTTGCCCCTAACTGCCCTCCCATGCTGGCCTGGTCACTCCTAACTGCCCTCCCCTACAGGCTTGGTTGCCCCCAACTGCCCTTCCTTGCAGGCCTGGTCCCTCCCAACTGCCCTCCTCTTCTGGCCTGATTGCCCACAACTGCCCTCCCCTGATGACTATCTTGTGGTGGCCATCTTGTGTCCACATGGGGGCAGCCATCTTGTGTGTTGGAGTGATGGTCAATTTGCATATTACTCTTTTATTAGATAGGATGTACAGACTTTGTGAGAAAAAAAAACACACAAACACCCAAACAAAACATATTAGACTATACAGTGATGTGTAAAGAAGTACATGAAGCGATAGCCATGCTCCTGGTGAACGTTTTTCGCGATTTTCCTACAGGTGTGTATACATGTGTGCATACACGCAAAATGAGGAAACCCCTACATACATGCTGTATATACTTTATCTGTCTCAATAAATTAATCTATGCTTTTAAATAACGGCGGCCCCGTCAGATGCTGCTTTGCATGATTAAGCATTTCTAACTTGTCGGGGTGTGAGCGTTTTCCCATGCTTAGTAGGCACCTTTCCCCCAGCACAGTTCCTCCCGGGTCGCAAATTAGCTCAACACGCGCTGTGCCCCGTCTCAGCAATCCCCGGCTGCTGGGCGCTCCAAGGCTGTGCCCATGAATGGGGACAGGAGTGATGATAGCGATGCTGGTGCTGGTGCCATGGAGGGTCTCCATGGGCAATGCTGAGCTGGGGCATCTTTGCAGCACGTCTGATGGTCCGTGGCTTCAGGTTCAAAAAAGTGGGGACCTCAGTAGCACGTTTGCTGGAGGGGGAAGAGGCACTGGAATTAGAACACAGAGCTCCCCGCAGGACCCACCCCAGCCTGTAGCCCATTGGCCGGCTCTGATGGACAGACACAGCAGCCCATGGCCATGCTGTCTGTGATGTCCCATCCCGGGTCCTTCAGACCTTCTCCAGGAGCCTGTGTCTCCCAGCTTCAGGGCACATGTGTGACTGTGGCTGCTCCCTTTCTTCATGGTCCCCTGTGAGTACCAGCCCCCACAGCCGAGTCCGCCCCTGTGAGGACTCTCAGCCCTTCTCCATCATCCCCTGTCCCTCTCACCTCCTTGTTCATCTGGTCTCCTCCTCCAAGTCTAAGGTGGACACTTATATAGCCCGGCTTCTCCTGTGGAGAGAAATCAGGGAAGAAGTCACATCTCAGGCCCATAAGAAATGGAGAGAAAGCAAGAGAGTCCTGGGCAGATGAGGAGGCAGCTTTGTGTTCCAGACCCTCCAGGGGCCTTCTATTGTAGTTGTAGAATTTCCACTCAGCCAGCCTTCCTGTGGTTCTGGACGATGTCCATTTTGTCTCTTGGCTGCAGTTTTGAAATTGTTGTGCAAGGCAGTAGACTAGGTGTTTACGTATGCCGCCATCTTGGTTTCTCTCCACTGGGCCCACCTTCCCACACTTTCCAGGCAAGAAAGCTCCAAACCTACTTCTCTTGTTCTCCAAAAGTGAAATATTTCCTGTTGCACACTCCAAACAAGTCAGTCCAAGACTAATAAGGTGGCAATCGGCTGCTAAAATATTCACTGCTGGTATTAGTGGAGAGAAATTGATGCCGAAACCGGTTTGGCTCAGTGGATAGAGCATCAGCCTGTGGACTGAAAGGTCCGGGTTCAATTCCAGTCAAGGGCATGTACCTTGGTTGCGGGCACATCCCCAGAAGGGGGTGTGCAGGAGGCAGCTGATCGATGATTCTCTCTCATCGATGCTTCTAACTCTCCATCCCTCCCTCTTCCTCTCTGTAAAAAATCAATAAAATATATTTTTTTTAAAAAGAAGAAGAAAAAAAATTGAGCACCCTCATGTAAGGCATTTAAGGGAAATGAATGCAACACAATTATAGCCATCAGTCATTAGCAGACATTTTAGTGTGTTATTAATAACTAAAGGCCCAGTGCACAAAATTCATGAATGGGTAGGGTCCCTAGTGGCTACTGGCCAAGGGGGCCTCCCTTCCCCCCAGCTCCCTGCCACTGTGGCTGCCACCAGCCCCAACCCATGGTCAAACTCCTGCTCAAACTCCCTGTTGAGGGGACAATTTACATATTAGGCTTTTATTATATAGGATTATGTGTAACAGGATATTATAAAAATTAAGTTACGGAATTTTTCTTAAAATGTTTCTTACGCCAAGACTGGTTTGGCTCAATGGATAGAGCGTCGGCTTGGGGACTGAAGGGTCCTGGGTTTGATTCCAGTCAAGGGCATGTATCTTGGTTGCGGGCATATCCCCAGTAGAGGGTGTGCAGGAGGCAGATGATTGATGACTCTCTCTCATTGATGTTTCTAACTCGCTATCTCTCTCCCTTCCTCTCTATACAAAATCAATAAAATATATTTTAAAAATGTTTTTTACATGCTGTTGTATTGGCTGGGCCACAAAAATATTCATTGTGGGCTGTGAGTTCGACATGCTTGGCTCAACATTCCCCATACTTTTTGTTTCTGAGGTCTTAAGGTTGCTGGAGGAAGATGGCAGGGGCAGGGGATGAACGGAGGGAAAAGAGGCTGAGCATACCTGGGGAAGGAGTTAGCATGACCTGGCGTAATGACTGATGATGTCAATGATGATGGTGATGATGATTTATTTCACACCTATAGTGTGCAGGGCACTACAGTAGATGATTTATAGAAATTATCTAGCCCTAGCTGGTTTGGCTCAGTGGATATAGCAACGGCCTATGGACTGAGGGGTCCCAGGTTTGATTACTGGTCAAGGGCACTTACATTGGCTGCAGGCCTGATCCTTGGCCCTGGTCAAGGCATATGCAAGAGACAACCAATCGATGTGTCTCTCTTACATCGATGTTTCTCTCTCTCCCCCTCTCTAAAATTCAATGAAAAAAAAATATTTTTGGGTGAGGATTAACAACAACAACAACAACTACAAAGAATTTACCTTGCCCTAGCTGGTTTGGCTCAGAGGATAGAGCATCAGCCTGTGGACTAAAGGGTCCCAAGTTCGATTCCGGTCAAGAGCACGTGCCTGGGCTGTAGGCTTGATCCCCCATAGGGGGCGTGCTGGAGGCAGTCAGCTGATGATTCTCTCATCATTGATGTTTCTCTCTCTCCCTCTCCCTTCCTCTCTGAAATCAATAAAAATATATATTTAAAAAAAAAAAAAAGACCTGCGTGTCTGCTCCATAGAGTCCCTGACAACCCAGTTCCTGGCCTGTCCCTTCCCCCTTCGCTCTGCTACCTCCATTCCAGGTAGTACTGGCTTCTGAGCCCCAGAACCCCAACCTAGTGCCCCACCCTTGACCCTGAGCAACAGGTACCTGGTGGACAAACGAGTGACGAGGATGTAGATCAGGACTCCACAGAGGTAGACTCCGCCCAGGGCCGTCATCCCGATGAAGAACACCAGCAAGGGCCCCGAGAGGTAGAACTCTGGCCCGCCCACAGGGATGGTCCCTGGAAGGAGAGGGAACTTGGGGGTCAGGACTGTCATTCCGTCATCCCTTCATTCACCCACATGCCTGTTCTCCAAAGACCTGTTAGGACCTGCTGTGTGCAAAACCCTGTCTGGGCAGGAGGAGCTCCACAGAAAGCAGAACAAATGTCCCGCCCTCAGGGGGCTGACATGGCAGCTGGGAGCAAAGCGACGTCTCGTATCCTTGCAGGAGCAATGAGTGCTCTGGAGAAGAAGAGACCCACAGGAGGGGACAGAGGGTGAGAGGGTGAGAGGGTGAGAGCGTGCTGGGGACACAGGGTCACACACTCCTTGCACAGATAGCGCAAATATTCACCGAGCAGCAACCATATGCCTGCGCCCTCTCCCAATCTGGGATCCCTTGGGGGATGTTGGAGAGCCGGTTTGAGCCCAATCTCCATGGGCCAGGTGGAGGGACCCCACTGGTGCCCAAATCTGTGCTCTAGTCTGATTAATAAATGCTCTTGCCCTAACCGGTTTGGCTTGGTAGATAGAGCGTCAGCCTGCAAACCGAAGGGTCCCAGGTTCAATTCCGGTCAAAGGCGTGTACCTTGGTTGCGGGCACATCCCCAGTGTGGGGTGTGCAGAAGGCAGCTGATCGATGTTTCTCTCTCATCAATGTTTCTAACTCTCTGTCCCTCTCCCTTCCTCTCTGTAAAAAAATCAATAAAACACTTAAAAAACATAAACCCTCTTAAAGGATTCAACCTTGCCTCTGCGTATTGGCTGAGTGGCCACAGGCAGCCACGGACCCTTGTTGTGTCTGCTATCAAAACCACGCTTCAGCCACCACCTCCACGGCGAACATCTCCTTTCTCTGCACCACTTCCCCTCCGTCTTCCCACTTCCTCATTGGGGAGGCAGCCCGGGGAGGAGAGGGTGAGGGCAAGGGCTGTGTGGCCAGACTGCCAGGGTTTGAATCCTGCCTCCTCGGCTGACAAGGACTGGAACCTTGAGCAAAGCACCCAGCTGCCCGAGCCTCAGTGTTCTCACCTGTACAATGGAGGTGATGTGTGCAACAGGCCCCTGCTCTGAAGGGAGCCTGTGAGGCTCGCCCCGGTCGGAAGGGTGGCAGGCACAGAGTGTGCGCTCAGCCAATGTCCCGGGACCTTATCTCCCTGGAATTCACACCAACTCAGGTCTGCCCCAGCCAGGGTGGCTCAGTGGATAGAGCGTCAGCTTGTGGACCGAAGGGTCCCAGGTTCGACTCTGGTCAGGGGCATGTGCCTGGGTTACAGGCAGCCGATCCATGATTCTCGCTCATCATCGATGTGTCTATCTTCCTCTCCCTTCCTATCGATATTTGAAATCAATACAAAATACATCTTATCTAATAGAAGGGTAATATGCAGATTGACCATCACTACAACACACAATAGCTGCCCCCATGTGCTCAAAGATGGCTGTCCCATTGTGGACACAAGATGGCCACCACAAGATGGCCGGCAGGGGAGGGCAGTTTGGGAGACACCAGGCCTGCAAGGGAGGGCAGTTTGGGAGACACCAGGCCTGTAAGGGAGGGAAGTTGGGGCCGATCAACCCTGCAGGGGAGGGCAGTCAGGGTGACCAGGCCGGCAGAGGAGGGAAGTTGGAGGCAAATAGGCTGGCAAGGGAGCAGTTAGACATCAATCAGGCAGGCATGGGAGTGGTTAGGGGGTGATCAGGCTGGCAGGCAGACGTGGTTAGGGGCAATCAGGAAGGCAGGCAGGTGAGCAGTTGGGAGCCAGCAGTCCTGGAATTGGGTCTAAACGGGCAGTTGGGCATCCCTCAAAGGGTCCCAGATTGGAGAGTGTGCAGGCTGGGCTGAGGGAGACGCCCCCCTCCCCTGGCCCTGTGCACGAATTTTGTGCACCGGACCTCTAGTTTAAAAAAAAAAAATGAAAAAAAAATAAAAATAGAAACTCAACTCTGAGGACCCTGGGAGCTTCCTAGAGAAAGCAGCTTTGGGCTCCGACCTCAGATGACGAGAGGATTTTGTGCAACCATTGGGAGCAGGCCTGGCCAGGCTGCACTTACGGGGCCTCTGGATCCGGACGTCCCTGTAGAACCTCAGCTGGGTCACAGGGCTCTCGGCGATGCACCTGTACCTGCCCATCTGCTCCCAGGTCAGGCTTGGGAAGCTGAGGCTTGGGGCCGAGCTCAGGAGGGAGCCGTTGTGGACCCAGCGGTACTCGGGCCTCGGCGAGGAGGTGGAGCTGCACTCCAGCTGCACCGCGGAGCCAACCTCGGCGGGCAGGACGCCGCTGAACATGGAGGGCCTGGTCTTCAGAGTCACGCCGTCCGGTCCATCTGCGGAGACGGGGACCTCAGTGTCTGACCCCCTCCCACCCCCGCCCCAGCGCCCTGTCTCTTCCCCTCAGTCCACACAAAGTCCTCCCCACGCTGCTGCACCCCGAGCAGGCCCCTAGACCTACCCCCAGGCAAGGCAGCTGGGCCAACAACAACAACAACAATAATAATAATGTCTTCTCCCTGACCGGTTTGGCTCAGTGGATAGGGCGTCGGCCTGCAGACTCAAGGGTCCCACGTTCGATTCCGGACAAGGGCATGTACCCTGGTTGTGGGCACATCCCCAGTAGGAGGTGTGCAGGAGGCAGCTGATCAATGTTTCTCTCTCATCGATGTTTCTAACTCTCTGTCCCTCTCTCTTCCTCTCTGTAAAAAATCAATAAAATATATTTTAATAATAATAATAATAATAATAATAATAATAATGTCTTCCATGATGAAGCATGTACTATATAAGCCAGTCCCGTGGTAGCCTTTTATGTTGTCATAAAGCAGGGGTAGCCAGGCCGGCATGGCTCAGCAGTTGAGCGTCGACCTATGAACCAGGAGGTTCCAGCCAAGGGCACATGCCCGGATTGCGAGCTTGATCCTCAGTGAGGGGTGTGCAGGAGGCAGCCGATCAATGATTCTCTCCCATCATTGATGTTCCTATCTTTCGCTCCCTCTCATTTCCTCTCTGAAATCAATAAAAATATTATATATTTTTTAAAAAGCTACTACAACCAAAAAAAAAAAAAAAACACACAAACAAACAAAACACAACAACATTTAAAACAAAAATAAAAGCCCTAACCGGTTTGGCTCAGTGGATAGAGCGTCTACCAGTGAGCTCAAGGGTCCCAGGTTCCATTCCGGTCAAGGGCATGCACCTTGGTTGCGGGCACATCCCCAGCAGGGAGTGTGGCAGAGGCAGCTGATCGATGTTTCTCTCTCATCGATGTTTCTAACTCTCTTTCCCTCTCCTTTCCTCTCTGTAAAAAATAAATAAATAAATAAATATATTTTAAATAAATAAAAGAATGAATAAATAAATAAATTAATTAATTAAATAAGCGCAGAGTGGAAACAGATGCATCTTGCCCGCTGCATGCCAGGCCCTGCTCTCAATACTTTACACCGTCCCTTAGTTCCCAAGGCAACCCCTGGGGTGGGTCCACTTTATGGATGCGGAAGGCGAGGCTCAGAGGAGAAGACTGGGGGTTTAACTGTCTTCTGTGGACCTACAGAAAGGTTAAGCAAGTCCCCCTGTGGCCCTGGGGGTGGGGAGGGGCATTTCCCTGAGCAGCTGTATCACCCATGGCAACTGGGGCCTGGGGCCTGGGTCAAACCTCCAACCAGTACACAGTGGATGAAGGCCGGGAATTGCCTTCTCCACGAAGACCCAGAGCTGGGGCTTTGAACCCAGAACCGGCTGGACTGCAGGCTGGCTCCAGATGCTGTCCCCTGGTCTTCCCTCTTCTGCCCTGCCCCATCCTCACCTACCATTCCAGCAAAAGAGTGAGGAATGGCGGATTGTCAGCAGAGAAGACAACACACTGAGCTGGGAGAAAAGGAGAGAACTACATAACCAGACATCCTGAAAAGAGAAACCACGGGAGACAAAGAAATAGCCCACATGTGAAGGAAAAGCAGGCATCACCAGAAAAGGAAGTAAACAGATGCCGTCTGAAATATAATGGCAACCAAACTTTGGTAAAAACTGCTGTTTGAATTTTAAACCTGCGAAGGCAATTTTCCTGTGCCTGGGACCATAACCTTTGGAGATTAACCACTGAGTTCTGCTTCTGCAAGATAGGGCCACATTCCAATGTCCAGCAGGATGTGACTGGGAACGACCCTGTGGGCTGCCCCCAGTTTTTAGAATATAGTCTTTAGGATTCAGAATTTAGAACAAAGGAAAATTCCTGTGGTTTGAACTGTTGCAGAGTTCCCCAGCGGTCGGATGGTGCAGGGGGAGAGTTTGGAGAGACTTGCTTTGTTCATAGTGCAATGGGCTTAGGGAGGATGAATTCAAATTCTAAGCAAGGTTACAGGCAGAACTTCCTTTTTTTTTTTTTATTAAAGAGCCAGCCCTATATGCATTTAGTGGTTATCTCGATGCTGGCCTTGAAAACAATACAGTTCTATCCAATTGAGAAAGTGCACCTGGCATGGGATTGAGATTGTGGGCATATCTGGTCTCTGGCCTGCAAGGTCAGACAGCTAAGTTTATCTTTATCATTCTTCACACTGGCTAAAGCAAACTAGAAAGCAACATTTTATCTGGGAAGAACAGCAGGAAGTTCCAAACAACAGTTTGTTGCAGAATGGGGGTTTTCCTTCTCAGAACCTTTAAAAAGAACTATCTGCCCTGGAAGCAGGGCAGTCGTGTGGTGTCCGCCTGTGTGTGGTGTTCTTGCTGCTGTCCTGGCCAGATACTTCAATAAATCTTTGCCTGGTTTTTTTTTTTTTTTTTTTAAATAAATCATCAACCTCCGGTGGTCGTCTTATTTTGAACCCAGGGTTCAACCCCACAACACTGTCCCCTTTCTCCAGTCCTGCCCGTGGAACCCCTATGCCCCTAAGAAGGCCTAGGAGCCCAGCCCTGGCATCACACCCATGACCTCCCCCTCCCCCACCCCCCCCCCTAGACCACGTACAGGCCACCTTCAGAAAGAGGGAGTCGCTTCTCTGAGCAAACCCCACGACGTTCGTTACGGTGCAGTGGATGGTAACGTCGAAGCGGCTGGGCTGGAGGAGGAGGAGGGTCTTGCCGTCGGGCGAGATGGCCACCCGCTCGTTGCCGGATGCCTCTTCGGAGTTCACGTACCACCGGATCCGGGTGGCGTCGGTGACGTTGGTGTGGCAGAAGGCGGCCATGGGGTCCCCGTACTCCACCACGGAGGTGGTGTTGGCCGAGATGCCGGGGTCGTCCCCCCACTCTGTGGGAAGAGCGGGAGATCAGCTGTGGGGTCTGCCTCCCCGAGCCCTGCTCTGTCTCCAAGGGAGGAGGGGTGGGAGGTGGGCGGGTTTGGGGTATGTTGGGTGTGGGGGCGGAGAAAGCAAGAGTTGTAAAAATCGGGGTCGGGCGTCTGGGGTCTTGGCAGGAGAGCACCCCTGAAACTAAGAGGGACCCAGAAAAGCAGGGGGTGGGCACAGGGCGGCCGAGATGGGGGGCACTTGCGGAGATGGGCCCATCATCCTCTGCCCGGAGACACTGCTGTGGATCCCCTGCCTCTGTAGCCAGGTCTTGGCATAAGCATGTGGCCAAAGGGTTGTGTCTGAACCCTCCCCCCACCCCCAAATCGGGACTTCCTCGCCCTGAGAGCTGTGGGTCGAATTCACAGAGAGAGGTGGTATTTGGACTCTTCATCATAGTTGCTCTGCGTCCCATGTCTTTGACCAGTGCCCCCCTCCGACTTGGCGACAGACCCCAGGCCTGGATGGTACCTCCATTCTACAGATGAGAAGGCTGAGGACCACAGAGGGAAGACAAAGTCCCAAGGCCATGCAATATATACGGGTGGGACCTGTGACTAACCTATAGAATATAGTGAAAGAGGTGATGGCTGTCACGCCCATCAGGACCTTGTGTCTTATAAGACTGCTTAGTAGCTGAGAGAGAGAGAGAGAGAGAGAGAGAGAGAGAGAGAGAGAGAGAGAGTTTGGCTGACCTTGAGGGAGCAAACAGCCAAGATGTGAAATGCCTGTGTACTGAGCCACAGAGCCATGGGGCCAGCATTTATGAGTCAACATTTATGAGGCCATGACTCAGCGAAGCCGTGCCTGAAACCCTTTTCATATATATATATATATATATATATATATATATATATATATATATATATATATTCGATATATCCCCACACACACACACTGAGTGGCCAGATTATGATGACCTCTGAACGCATAATAATCTGGCCACTCAGTGTATATCCTATAAAAGGCTAATATGCAAATTGTCTCCTTGACCAGGAGTTGGACCAGCAGGCAGGCCGGCCAACTTCCCATGTCCCCTCCCCCTGGCCAGGCTGGCCGGACCCCACCCATGCATGAATTCATTCACCGGGCCTCATATATATACTGAGTGGCCAGATTATTATGCGTTCAGCAATCATAATAATCTGGCCACTCAGTGTATATATTTTTATTGATTTCAGAGAGGAAGGGAGGGAAATAAAGAGATAGAAACATCAATGATGAGAGAGAATTATTAATTGGCTGCCTCCTGCACATCTCCTACTAGGAGATGGAGATGGGGAAAGGATTAAGCCCGCAACTCGGCACATGCCCTTGGCCAGAATTGAACCTGGGACCTTTTAGTCTGCAGGCTGACGCTCTATCCACTGAGCCAAACCGGCTAGGACCATGCCTGAAATCTTGACACAGAAACTGTGCAATAAAAAAACATGAGGTTCTTGCCCTAGCCAGTTTGGCTCTGTGATACAGCATCGGCCTGTGGACTGAAAGGTCCCAAGTTCCATTCCAGTCAAGGGCATGTGCCTGGGTTGTGGGCTATATCCCCAGTGTGGGGCGTGCAGGAGGCAGCTGATCAATGACCCTCTCTCATCATGGATGTTTCCATCTCTCTCTCTCCCTCTCCCTTCCTCTCTAAAATCAATAAAAAGACATATATATATATATTCTTTTTTTAATGGGGCGGTTCTTTGTTTAGCTAAGCCGGTAGGCTATTTGTCATGCTGCCTTACTCACAGATAACGAACAACTGACAAGGACACTGCAGCCCCACCGAAACCTGTTTGGTTCAGTGGATAGAGCGTTGGTCTGCGGACTGAAGGGTCCCAGGTTCGATTCCCATCCAGGGCATGTACCTTGGTTGCGGGAACATCCCCGGTAGGGGGTGTGCAGGAGGCAGCTGGTTGATGTTTCTCTCTCATCGATGTTTCTGGCTCTCTATCTCTCTCCCTTCCTCTCTGTAAAAATGCAATAAAATATGTTTTTTTTTTTACAAAAAGAAAGAAAGAAAGAAAGAAAGAAAGAAAGAAAGAAGGAAGGAAGGAAGGAAGGAAGGAAGGAAGGAAGGAAGGAAGGAAGGAAGGAAGAAAGAAAGAAAGAAGAAGAAAGAAAGAAAGAAAGAAAGAAAGAAAGAAAGAAAGAAAGAAAGAAACTGCAGCCTCGTGAAGGTAGAGTGACCCATCTCCAGGCAGGGGAGGGGGCGGGGAGCTAAGCTACATCTGCTGAGGCCCCCGGGGCCGTCTGTCCGGGGATGGGTGGGAGACTTGGGTGGTAAGATTGCCGAGGCACCCACTCCCCATGCCACCAGGTCGGACTCTCAGGCTGAGGGAGTGGGGCGCCCTGCCAGCTCACCCTGAACCTCCAGCCAGCCCGTGGCTCTCTGGGTCTCGTTGCCCAGGTCCACCCGCACCGTGTAGCTCCCCGTGTCGCTCCGCAGGGCGTCCCTGATCACCAGGCGGCCTTCCGCGGTCACGGTCTCCCGGAGGCTGTACATGGGCCCCAGCTGCCAGGCACTGAAGGGCGGGCAGTAGCTGACGATCATGGAGTCCGCGCTGTCCTTCTCGCCCCGATGCCAGCTGTACTCCTGCACGCCCTCGGGGACGTTCTGCAGCTCCAGGGAGGCATTAAAGCCCTCGATCGTTGGGGATGAGGTGATGGAGATTTGGCCGGAGGTCTGGCAGACCCCACAGGCCAGCAAACTGACTGAGGGAGGGAGGGAGAGAGAGAGAGAGAGAGAGAGAGAGAGAGAGAGAGAGAGAGAGAGAGAGAGAGAAATTTCCATCATCCAGGTAATGATTCTCAGACACCCTGTCCTCTCCTCCCCACCCACTCCGCCCTCCACCCTGGTCCGTTCTCTCCTCCTTGTCGTCCAGCCTGGACACATCCTTGGACCCTCCCCAGTGTCCTCCAGCCCATCCTCACACGGCAGCTTGCAGACCCTTACAAGGCCCAGTGGTGGCCCCTGCTCTCTGCCCCTGCTCAGATACTCACCACGGCTCTCTCGCTGCTCTCCCGTGATGAAGTTCAAACTCACACCCTGAGTGAGAGAGCTGGCCTTTCAGACTCCTTTAGACTCCTCTCCCATCCCATCTATCCCACCGCCTCACCCCATGCCCTCCCTCATTCATTCATTCATTCATTTGTTCATTCATTCGTTGGAAGCCCCAGTCATACACCCAGCCCTCGTGACCCACCGCCCTCTCTCCTGACCGAGCTTTCACCCGAGCCGTTCCCCCCTTCTGGCCCGCCGGTCCCCACTTCCTCCTGGCTGACTCATGCCTCCCCATCCCTCAGCTCTCAGCGTGGGTGTCGCCTCCTCCCCAGCCTGGGTCTGAGGGCCCCGCCCCGGGGGGCTGCCCCAGCCTCCTGGACCCCCTCCTGGTCCCCCCACCACTCTGGGTTTAAGGAATGGGGTGGCCGATGGGCAGCTGGCCCTGGAGGTGAGCCCGGGGAGGGTGGTCTCGGTCACCATGGCAATGCCAGCCCTCTATGAGCACTGGGCAGAGCCCAGAGGGAGCCCTGGGCAGGAGCATCTGGGTGGAGGATAAAAGTCCCACAAGATGCCAAAAACGGTTTGGCTCAGTGGATAGAGAGTCGGCCTGCGGACTGAAAGGTCCCAGGTTCGATTCCAGTCAAGGGCATGTACCTTGGTTGCGGGCATGTCCGCAGTAGGGGGGTGTGCAGGAGGCAGCTGGTCGATGTTTCTAGCTCTCTACCCCTCTCCCTTCCTCTCTGTAAAAAGTCAGTAATAAAATATACATTTTTAAAAATATATATTTTATTGATTTTTTACAGAGAGAAAGAGAGAGGGACAGAGAGCCAGAAACATCGATGAGAGAGAAACATCGACCAGCTGCCTCCTGCACACCCCCCACTGGGGATGTTCCCGCAACCCAGGTACATGCCCTTGGCCGGAATCGAACCCGGGACCTTTCAGTCTGCAGACTGATGCTCTACCACTGAGCCAAACTGATTTCGGCTAAAATATACATTTTTAAAAAGTCCCTAAGACTTTGATTTAATGTCAAAACCAGGGGAGTGGATGTGGATGGAGCTGGGGATCTGTTGGGGATCTACTGATCTGTGGACCCAAAGCCTTGACTCTGTGGAGAAGGCCTTCGAGTGAGGGATTGGGAAGGGGCCCAGTTGGAGAGGTGGAGGAGGGGGTCAGGGAGAAGGGGCACCCAGGGGAAAGTTCTCTGTGTGTGTGTGTGTGTGTGTGTGTGTGTGTGTGTGTGGAAGGGAGGTGGGGGGAGTTGTGCCCAGGTGTGTGAGCTCATGGAAGTCCTAGCGAGGGCCCCGTCTCCCTCCCCTCCCCCATCCAGCCCTGCTCGGTCCACTTTCTCTTACCCACAAGGACCATTTCCCTCCAGGGGCTGCGACTGGGTCTGGGAAGGTGCATGAGCGCCCGTGGGTCCTCCCGATGGAGGGGGATCTCTCCAGAGTGTGGGATCCGCCTTTGCTGCGCCAGCACCCACCTGTGTGTCTCAGGTGCAGAACTGCCGAGTGTCCATTGCCCTCCCGCCTCCAGGGTTGGACTCTGCACCGCGGTGGGTGGGGCTTGGGCAGGACGGCCTCTGAGGAGCTGGTCATTATCTTTATGGTGCTGTGTTGCCTTTGTTTACTTAAGTTATTTATTTATTGTTTTAAAATATATCTTATTGATTTTTTTACAGAGAGGAAGGGAGAGGGATAGAGAGTTAGAAACACCGAAGAGAGAGAAACATCCATCAGCTGCCTCTTGCACACTCCCTACTGGGGATGTGCCCGCAACCAAGGTACATGCCCTTGACCGGAATCGAACCCGGGGACCCTTCAGTCCGCAGGATGACGCTCCATCCACTGAACCAAACCGGTTTTGGCACTTAAGTTATTTATTTATTTATTTATTACATAGTCACACTACTCTGTCCCAGTTACAAAAAAAAACAACAACAACAACAACAACAACAACAAAAAAAAAAAAACACAAACCACCAACTCATGTTCATGAAAACTTGAAGATACCAAACAACGGAACAAGGACAAGTCCTGGACTTTTTTTTTTTTTTTTTTAATATATTTTTATTGATTTTGTACAGAGAGGAAGGGAGAGAGATAGAGAGTTAGAAACATCGATGAGAGAGAGTCATCGATCTGCTGCCTCCTGCACACCCCCTACTGGGGATGTGCCTGCAAGCAATGTACATGCCCTTGACCAGAATCGAACATGGGACCTTGCGGTCCCCAAGCCAATGCTCTATCCATTGAGCCAAACCGGTTTCGGCTGGACTTTTTTTTTTTTTTTTAATATATTTTATTGATTTTGTACAGAGAGGAAGGGAGAGGGATAGAGAGCTAGAAACATGGATGAAAGAGAAGCATTGTTCAGCTGCCTCCCACATGCCCCCATTTTGGGGATGTGCCCGCAACCAAGGTACATGCCCTTGATCAGAACTGAACCTGAGAACATTCAGTCAGCATGTCGATGCTCTATCCACTGAGTCAAACTGATCAGAGCAAACCTGAGTGTTTAATACAATGAGACACCCCCCCACACCCCAAATGAGGCCCGTGCCCTTGGGAGGTAACTGCAGGCTCAGAACATCCCTCTGGCTCCAGAGACTCACACTCATTCGCTAAGCAGACCCCAGAGATGGACATGGCCTGCCGTCCTGGGACCCTCCCCCCAATTTGGAACACCTGGAACTCTGTCTCTTTAGTCAGTGGTGGGCTTCCCATGTCATCAGTCCCTGGACATCCTAAGCTGTGAAGCCTAATGCATGTTAGGAAGTGATTACAGGAATGCAGGAATGCAGACACTATTTTCTTTCATCTGGCCTTTGTCTGAAGTGATTTTTTAAAAATAATTTTTTATTTGAGAAACAGAGAGAGAGAGAGAGAGAGAGAGAGAGAGAGAGAGAGAGAGAGAGAGATTTGTAGTTCCACTTAGTTATGCATTCATTGGTTGCTTATTTTTAAAATATATATATATATTTTAATTAATTTCAGAGAGGAAGGAAGAGGGAGAGAGAGCTAGAGACATCAATGTTGAGAGAGAATCTTTGATTGGCTGCCTGCCTCCTGCACTCCCCACACTGGGGATCCAGTCCACAACCCAGGCATGTGCCCCTGACCGGAATAGAACCTGGGACCCTTCAGTCTGCAAGCCAACGCTCTATCCACTGAGCCAAACCAGCGAGGGCCATTGGTTACTTCTTATAACCTGCCATGACCAGAGAGTAACTGGCCTCAGTGGAGTTTCAGCTCCAGACCCAGGAAAGCAGACGGATCCCACAGAACAAATCCTTCTGAAACGGGACTGAACAGCTCCATGACTGACACCAGGACCAGAGGCAAGGAGATCCATTATCCCTCCCCTAGCACCAACCGTTCAGCAGAGACCATGACCCCGATGCTATTAGTCACCATGATTCATGATTTCCCCCCTCCTATAATCCATCCCCAGGGAGCCATGGGGAGCCAGGGCTTTGAGCACCAGCCACCTGTGACTGCAGGCATGGTGCCAACTCCTCTTTAATCTCTTGGCTGCAAACTCCTTATTGGCCCTTGACTAGCACAGGGAAATGGACCACTTCCGTCTGGTAATATTCCCCCCGCAGAAAGAGATGTTCATAGTGCATGTACTAGCTCCCCTCAGCCATGCCTAAGGCTCACCTGGAGGCAGGTGACAGCCTTGGGGGGGCAGTCTCCTGGACCCCGTCATCCCCTTCTGAGCTGCCTGGTGCCCACCTGTCTCAATCAGCCTACTGACGACCCATGTTGTGGCTGCACTGCCCCTTGCAGTTCTTATTATGAGTAAAAGATACCCTCTGCAACAACCAGCAGGACACCTTGAGGAAATAAAGGGTTATTGCTTGATCAGCCCTATAAATTACACAGCACCCTTGGGACCACATAGCTAGGTCACAGGAGGGGAGGGAGGGAGGAAGGGAGAGAGAGAGAGAGAGAGAGAGAGAGAGAGAGAGAGAGAGAGAGAGAGAGAGAGAGAGAGTTGTCTTATTAGTGAATTAAAATAAAAGGCAGGTTTGGCTCAGTGGTAGAGCGTCGGTCTGCGGACTGAAGGGTCCCAGGTTCGATTCCGGTCAGGGGCATGTGCATTGGTTGCGGGCATATCCCTGGCAGTGGGTGTGCAAGAGGCAGCTGGTCGATGTTTCTCTCTCATCGACGTTTCAAGCTCTCTATCTCTCTCCCTTTCTCTCTGTAAAAAAAAATCAATAAAATATATTAAATAAAATAAATGGCAGGGATTTAAAGCACCAGAAGAGAAAAAAAAAAAAAGTAGTCTAAATGGTCAGTTATTGAAATCAACCAAGATCTTTAACACGATAGAGCCCTGCCAGGTCACTGAGTTGGTTCGCACATTGTCCTGATGTGACAAGGTTGCAGGTTTGATCCCTGGTCAGAACACCTACAAGAATTAACCAGTGAATGCACAAATAAGTGGAACAACAAAGCAATGTTTCTCTCTCTCTCTCTCTCTCTCTCTCTCTCTCTCTCTCTCTCTCTCTCTCTCAAACAATATTTTTATATATATATTTTATTAACTTTTTACAGAGAGAAAGGGACAGGGATTGAGAGAAACATCAATGAGAGAGAGAAACATCCATCAGCTTCCTCCTGCACACCCCATACTGGTAATGTGCCCGCAAGCAAGGTACATGCCCTTGACCAGAATCAAACCTGGAACCCTTGAGTCCGCAGGCCAATGCTCTATCTACTGAGCAAAACCAGTCAGGGCTCAATCAATAAATTAAAAAAAAAAACACTCATGGAAGTGGCTGGGGTCTTCTCTAGTAGTGTGGCTGGCAATGTGTTTTTTCCAGGAAGCCATCTTTGATGTGAATGCCTTGGCAACCAAAGCTGAAGTCAGGCACTTGCGAGAGAGAGAGAGAGAGAGAGAGAGAGAGAGAGAGAGAGAGAGAGAGAACGAAACTGTCAGAGCTTACAGTACCAGCGCCCCGTTTTGTACCTTCTTATCAGGAGAGAAAGACATCACGGCCCCTCCCAGGGCAAGGTTCTGCCCAGCACAGCTGGAATGTACCCTCATAAAACAGCCCCTCCTCCCTGCTTATCAGGCCTGGAGACCGCAAGGAATGATCACCTGGGATCTCTATGGATCTGTAAACCTCCTGCGACCATGACAACCAACGACCCATCTCTGTGCCCCTCTGGACAAACCCACCGCACCAACTCATTAGACCTCCAGGGGGAGCCCTGGAGCTGTGAACCAAAGTAACTCTGATCTTGGTCTAAAGCAGTGGTTCTCAACCTTCCTAATGCCTCGGGAAAGGAAGGGAGAGAGGGAAGGAGAAAGACAGAGGGAGGGAGGGAGGGAGAGAGGGAGAGAGAGAGAGATCAATGTGAGAGAGAAATAATGACCAGTTGCCTCCTACTTGCCCTGATGTGGGATGGAATCTGCAACCGAGGCATGTGCCCTGACCCGGAATCGAACTCACAACCTTTTGTGGTACGGGACGAGGCTCTAACCAACTGAGCCACTCCACCAGGGCAATGCTTTTGTCCTTTAACTTTTGTACAAAAATTAAAAGTGATACCGACGTCCCAGTCAACACCGGACAGCACCTCCGACTGTGGTTTAGCAGGTGGCTGAAGCTGCACCATCGCGGTCTCTGGAAGGGCGTGCTGTGAGGTCTCCATAGTGACAAAGTCACCCGGGGGCACAGTTCTGGGACCCTGTGACTACACTGAACACCATGTCCTTTCAGCTCGAAGAACTCGTGTAAGCATTTCCGGTCAAGCATTATGCTGAGTGGAATTAGCCAGTCACAGAAGGACAAATGCTTCGTGAGTCCACTTGTATGAAGTATTTAAGATACTCGGGCTCATAGAAGCAGAGAATAGAGTGGGGGCTGCTCAGGCCCGGAGGGAGGGGAAATGGTGAGTGTGTGTTCAATCGGTATAAAGTTTCGGTTATGCAAGACGAATGAGTACTGGAGACCGGCTGCTGTACGACAGAGTGCCTGTATAGTGCACGTAAAATGTTTGTTCAGAAAGTAGATCTCACATCAACATTTCTTTTTATTTAGTTATTAAGTATTTTTAAATGTATTTTTTTATTGATTTCAGAGAGGAAGGGAGAGGTAGAAACACCAATGATGAGAGAAAATCATTGATCTGTTGCCTCCTGCATGCGCCCCACTGGGGATGGAGCCCACAATCTGGGCATGTGCCCTGGCTGGGCATTGAACTGTGACCTCCTGGTTCATAGGTCGACGCTCAACCACTGATCCCTACCAGTTGGGCTATTTATTAAGGGTTTTGTTTTTTAGAGAAAGATGAAGAGAGAGAGAGAGAGAGAGAGAGAGAGAGAGAGAGAGAGAGAGAGAGAGAGGGAGAGACATAAATTTCTTGTTGCACTTCATTACGCATTCTTTGGTTGCTGCTTGTATGCGTCCTGACTGGTGATCGAACCCACAACCTTGGTGTAGTGGGAAGACGCTTTCACCTACTGAGTTACGGGCCAGGGCTTGCATTTTCTTATGACAAACAGGAGACACAGGGAAACATTGAGAAGGGATAGATGTGTTTC